AATTGTGATTACTGGTATCACAAATGTTGTCACATATCTCCTTTGATGAACTTAGATAAGATAGTGAATGCCTCCTGGGAAGGGGTTAATGTGAAGGTAGAAGACTCCCCACAGGACACAGAAACGTGATTCTTAAGACCATGCCTTATTTTTTCCAGAGTTCTGCTGAAAATCAACCTTGTTTATCCCAGGTTACAAATGGATAAATACCAGACATGTAAGCTTGTTGTTGAGCCAAGCCACAAACACTGGTTTTCGAGATTATTGACACCAACTCAATGCTAACTGTGGTTCATTCCCAGATGACTGAGTTGTATGTTTCTTGGTTATAAACAATAGGAACAGACTGGCAGTTTTAAGCAGAAAAGGAACTGACTGGAAGGCTAGATTGCAGAATCAAGCTCAGACAAGAATTAAATCACGGGAGCAAATCCACGGCCCTGCCCAGGAAGTCTGATTGGGAAGCTGCCATTGGCAGGCATCATCGCTCAGTGATCATCACACCATCAGCCCTGACCTGTAGTAGACAGGACCTGTGACAGATAATTGCAACTTCATTTTAATCCTCTCCAGATTCAAAGTCAAGGCATCACATTAGACCAGCTCTGGATGCAGAAAGGTGATTCCTCAGCTTGCTACTTAGTTCTATGTTCTAACAGAGATGTGGACTATTCTCCAGCCCACTTGGTATATAAAGCAACATAAGGAGAGTGCTCTAACATCTGAGAAGCCAAAACAACTAACATCCCACATGTTTTCTGCTGAAAGTAAACAGCCATTAAAAACCTTTGTCTCATTTTTAAGATGTTCTACAGGCAGTTATAATCAGAGCAGCCTGGTACTGGTACAAAAACAGATGGATAGGGGCCGGCGCTGTGGTGTGGGGTGTAAAGCTGCTGCCAGCAATGCCAAAATCCCATTTGGATGCTGGTTCAAGTCCCGGCTGCTCCACTTCTGATCCAGCTCTCTGCTGTGGCCTGAAAAGGCAGTGGAGGATGGCCCAAACACTTGGGCCCCTAAACCCGCATTGAAGACACGGAGAGCATCCTGGCTCCTGGCTTCAGATCGGTGCAACTCCAGCCATTGCGGTTATTTGGGGTGTGGGCCAGTGGATGGAGGACCTCTTTCTCTCTTTCTGCCTCTGCCTCTAACTTTATACATATATATATATATATATATATATATATATATATATATATATATAAAGATGGATGGATCGATGGAACAGAATGGAAATGCCAGAAATCAATCCAAGCATCTACAATCAACTTATATTTGATCAAGGAGCAAAAACCAATCCCTGGAAAAGGACAGTCTCTTCAACAAGTGGTGCTGGGAAAACTGGATTTCCACATGCAGAAGAATGAAGTAGGACCCCTACCTTACACATTACACAAAAATCCATTAAAAATGGATTAAAGACCTAAATCTATGACCTGATGACATAAAATTATTAGAGAACATTGGGAAAACACTGCAAGACATTCCATAGGCAAAGAGTTCTTGGAAAAGACCCCAGAGGCACAGGAATCAAAGCCAAAATTCACAAATAGGACTACATCAAACTGAGAAGCTTCTGTTCTACAAAAGAAACACTCAGGAAAGTGAAGAGGCAAGCAACAGAATGAGAGAAATTATTTACAAGCAATGCAACTGATAAAGGATTAATAACCAGAATATATAAAGAGATCAAGAAACTCCACAATAAAACAAATAACCCAGTTAAGAAATGTGCAAAGGACTTAACAGACATTTTTCAAAAGAGGAAATCCAAATGGCCAACAGACACTTGAAAAAATGTTCAGGATCACCAGCCATCAGGGGAATGCAAATCAAAACAATGTTTCACCTCACCCCAGTTAGAATGGCTTTCATACAAGAATCAACAAACAAATGCTGGTGAGGATATGGGGAAAAAGGTACCCTAATCTGTTGGTGGGAACGTAAACTGGTAAAATCACTATGGAAGACAGTTTGGAGATACTTCAGAAATCTGAATATAGACCTACCATATGACCCAGCCATCCCACTCCTGGGAATTTACCCAAGAGAAATGAAATCAGCAAATAAAAGAATTATCTGCACTCCCATGTTTATTGCAGTTCAATTCACAACAGCCAAGACATGGAATCAACCGAAATGCCATCAACTGAAAACCGAATAAAGAAACTATTGGATATATACACTATGGAATACTACACAGTGATAAAAAAAAAAAAATCCAGTCACTTGCAACAAAATGGATGAATCTGGAAAACATACTTAGTGAAGTCAGTCCCAAAGGTACAAATACCACAGGCTCTCCCTGATCTGTGAGAACTAACAGAGCACCTAAAAGGAAATCTGTAGAAGTGAAATTGACACTTGGAGAAGCAATAACTTGAACAGCCCTTGTCTTGACTGTTTTTTTTTTCTTTTCTTCATACTATTTGTTGAACTCCTTACTTAACATAGAGTTAATCATATATGAATAAAGTAAATAGAAAATAGATCTCAGTAAAAAGAAAGAATGAGAATAAGAGAGGGAGGATGAAGTTTGTAACTCTAAAGCTGTAGTGTTCTGCATACATTCCTATGGACTTACATCTAAGAATACAGCTTAAAAATTTGCCATGGGACCCCAAATCCCATTACACTGGGTGGTAAAAATGACATCTTAAGTGTTAAGATGATCATATTAAATGTTAAAGTGGTCATATAGATAGGATTAAATGTTAAAGGGATCATATAAATAAGATCAAGTGTCTGGTAATAATAATAGGTAGAATTAAAAAGGAGAGAATTTCCAATATGGGAAGCAGCCCACACAGCAGACTCATAGAATGACAATCACTTTAAACAGCACTCTGACCTCAGAATCAGCCCTTAAGTCATTCTGGTCTGGCTGAAAAGCCCATGAGAGCATTTCAGGCATGGAAAGCTAAGACACTGTGGCAAAAAAAATGTCCCACATGAGGGACATCTGTGAGACTCCAGTGGAAAGAAGTGGCCATCAAAGGATGTACTTTTCTCTGAAGGGAGAGAACTTCCACTTTGCTTATAGCCTTGTCTACTGACAGAGATTGTGGATTCAAAAGGCTTCCATAGCCTACAAAGCTCATGTCAAGAGCCTCAGGTGATCACTGACGTCATACTTAAGAGTGTTAATTGTTAAATTAACAACAGGTGTCACTGTATACTTAGTTCCCACACAGGACCTCTGTCCTCAATGAGTTGTATTATAATTGTAAAACCTGTTCCTAAACAGGTGTGTATGTGTGTGTGTGCAAACTGCTGAAATCTTTATTTAGTACAGAGTTGGTCTTCTGTGTATAAAGTTTACTGAAAATGAATCGTAATGGAGAATGAGACAGGGCATGAGAGAGAGAGGATATTGGGTGGAGGGGCAGGAGGGTGGATATGGTGGGAAGAATCACTATATTCCTAAAGTTGTACTTAGGAAATTGGTATGAAATAAAAGGTTTCTTTGGGAAAAAAATAATAAAGTACATCATTGTAAAAATTAAAAGAAAAAAGAAAGGAAGGAAGAGGCAGGGTGGGAGAATAGGTGGGAGGGAAAGTGGGGTGAGAAGAACCGCTATGCTCCTACATCTGCCTATATGAAACAAATGTAATTTGTTCACCTTATATAAATTTTAAAATCCATTTTAAAAAAGCCTTTATCTCTTTAAACTAACCTGGGTGGATTTTGTTGGTTTTCTGGCCCTACTTGTATAGCATTGCCTCCCTAACCTATGACATCTTTAGTGTATAAGTTTCTCTCAACTTCACAAGATTAGTGAGCACCTTTCAAAATGAAGGAAACATTACCAGGCATATCCATTGCTAAAGCCTTGACAACTCTCAATGTTTGTATCCTCAAAGGAACTGGGCAGAATCAACTAATGTTTAGGAGAATCACTTACATTTTAAATTATTACGGTTCTATTGTTTTAGCTCTGAGAAATTTCTATTTTACACATGTAATTCAGGACATTTTTGGGCAGGATGGAAGCTTAAAAGCCTTCCTCCATTGTTTCATTATCCCAAACTTAGATTCATCACTCACCTTCCCACTGGCACATCATTGGACCTCTCAGGCTTTATTTCTTTGGGTATTAACCAAATCTTTCATTGCTTCTCTTTAATCAGATCACATTCTCTTTTGTTATTTTTTAGCCATTAAAAACTTCCCTTTCGGCCAGCGCCGCGGCTCACTAGGCTAATCTTCCGCCTTGCGGCGCCGGCACCCCGAGTTCTAGTCCTGGTCGGGGCGCCAGATTCTGTCCCGGTTGCCCCTCTTCCAGGCCAGCTCTCTGCTGTGGCCAGGGAGTGCAGTGGAGGATGGCCCAAGTGCTTGGACCCTGCACCCCATGGGAGACCAGGAGAAGTACCTGGCTCCTGCCATTGGATCAGCGCGGTGCGCCTGCCGCTGCAGCCATTGGAGGGTGAACCAATGGCAAAGGGAGACCTTTCTCTCTGTCTCTCACTGTCCACTCTGCCTGTCAAAAAAAAAAAAAAAACACTTCCCTTTCATGTAAGCAAATAATTGTGCCATCTGAGTGCTCATTATACCAAACACCATTCTAGTAACTTTACCTCATTTGACACTCAAAATCTTAAGTGTCTAGGAAGGGCAATCACCCTAGTGATTAAAACACTGCTTGTGACACCTGCATTAGACCACCTGGGTTCCAGTCCTAGCTCTGCTCTCAATTCTAGGTTCCTGCTAATGCACACAGTGGGAGGCGGCAAGGGATGGCTCAAGTGATTGGGTTCCTACTGCCCAAGTGGGAGACCTGGAGTGCGTCCCTACCTTCCAGCTTCAGCCTGGCCCAGTCCCAGCCCTAGCTCAGCTGCTGTGGCCACTTGTGGATAGAATCATCAGATGGAAGATTTCTCTATCTAAAATAAATAAAATCTAAAAAATTTTTAAAATCTTGTTTTGCAGATGGAGATACTGAGGCCAGAAAGATTGTAATCAATGTAAGAGCTTGAATTACACTGCAAAAATACAAGACTTGCTGCCAATAAATAAAATATCTTTATTATGATTAATAGTTAAAACTGCACGTTTCCTAGTTTTAACAGGATAAAAAAGCTACAAAAGGCAAGCTTGCTTTCTTAACCATTTGAAAAATTAAAATACCTGCTAATTATTTAGCATCTTTAAAAATAACACAAAATATATTCAATATGTAATACAAACCTCAATAATCCAATTCTCTTAATAGGCAATTATTTACAAACTCTGAACTAAGAGAAAAAGATTTAGCTAAACAGAGAAGAAAATAATGTTCTCAAATATTATGCTAAGTAATCAATGTTCTGGAGTAGAAAATACCCATTTAATACAATGTGCTACTTTTTAATCCAGTTTTAGTGACATTTTGTTGATGTGAATTTAGCCCCAACTAAATTGTCTCTAGAAGATACAATTTTTAAAAAAGCTACTATTAAGAATTTTTAAGAGTTTAATAATTCAGATTGACATCCCAATCTACTTATCTTAAAGGTACAGAATTTAATGATACCTTTTTTTCGAGTTAAACTCATCCTCATTAACAAATGTAAAGCAATTTCCTTTCTCAATTGCATGATTTTATTCAGTAATCTATATAACAATGTCATATTCTAATAAGCAAAGCAAGCAACGTTACTTTTTTTAAATAACATCTTTAATTAAAGTTTTTGCAAAGGTAAAATATTAAACTTAAAATAGGTCTTAGTACATCAAAATACTAAGTTCTCTAATTGTATTCCAAGATGGTTTTTAAAACATAATATCCCATATATCACAGAAGAGCAACCTTGATCTGCAATTGTACAGAATGAATTTTACAAACATAATAAATATATTTACGCCCTTAGACATAACAGTATGTACAACAGCAGTTGACAACAGTAGCCCAGAACAGCAAAAAAGATTAGCCCCTCCCCCAAAATTGCAGCCCTGATACATACTGGACTGATTTAAGGAAACTTGACGGAAAGAGTAATTATTAACTCAATGCAGTTCTTCCCTTAAAAGGAAGAAAAAAAAAACTCCTTTGTTCCTCAAAACAAAAATAGTAAGTTTGGTGTGTTCTTCTTTAAACCATAGAAAATGACAAAAATAGACTAAGGCAGGCTTAAAAAGTAAATAATAATTTCCATAGCATAATAGAGGATTAAAATGCAAAATTATTTAACACAAACCCATGAGAAAACATATAAAACAACTATTTTTCAACCAATGAATTCAAAATCTGCTATAGCTGATTCAGACAGGTAAGCAGGAGATAGGCATGAAACAAACTGAAAATGTACAAACACAGATCAATAAAATATTACATTGCACAAAAGCTCAAAAAATTCAAGATGAAATAACCTGAAAATAAATGAATTTTTCTCAAGTGGAAGAAAATGTTATGTTATAAAGGGAAATCATGTCTGTTTCTTATATTTTACCCTCTGATAATAATGATATTATTGCTATGAGATAATAGAAAGGTTACCCTTAGAGGGAGACAACTTTTCATTCCTCCATCAAAGCCAGAGAAAAAAGGAAAACCAAATTGCCGATTTTCCCTATAGCAAAAGAAAATCTTTATACAAAAGATACTATATTTTTATGTTCTAGTTTTCAAAACCCAGCATCTATTATGCTGTGAAAAACACATTTCAATCACTATACGCACTGCTCAAATCTTGATGTAATCAAAGAATAACATCAGAGTGGCTTTGATTTTAAAAAAGGCAACAGTGTAAAAATGTGACATTCTGATGGCATTTAATTAAAATAAAGAAATGTGAGCATTTAAAAAAATAAACGCTCAATATAGAGATCTCCCTCAAACAGACATTTACTCTAGGTACTAATTGCACGTTACAGAGTTGTTTCAGCCACAAGTGGCACTCCATGGAGATTAAATGTGCTCTCAGGCATGCAAGTGGTTTGATTATCCAAATAACTACTAAGCAAGAGTTCCTTGTGTAACTGAAAGGCACACATTCCCACACTTTATATGGTAATTTTGTGTGAATTTTCCTTAGCACTATTTCTAACGTTAATTTTCTTTTTGTTTTTAAGTAAAAGGTGCCATCATCATCTGTGCAAATCAAAATAAATCCTCTTCTGAAACCACCAAGACTCAACTATTTCCCCCTTTCCATGAATAAGCTACTTTCATTTTAAAATTCTGAAAGTGGGAATCCCTTGCCTTTTCAAAGGAATGACATTTTAATGTAGTAACCTAATGAAATGATTTGTTAAATACAATGTTAAAAGCATGATTAAGAATTCAAGTACAATAAAAGATAAGCAAATGACATTCTTATAGTAAAAGCCACTATAATAAAACTAAAACATGCTATTTGATTAAAAAGTTAACACAATACATAATATATAAGAGCACGATTTGGTATGAAGTGTTGTTTGAACCAGCTTTCAGTATTTTCACAGGTAAAAGAAAAGCATTTGCCTAATATGCAGTACACAGGTGCAAATACAAATGGTTGTTTCCTGCTTCAAAAGAACTCTAATGAGTCACTCTGAAAGCAGTAGTTGTTCATGTTTGAAAATAAAGTTATAAAAACAGGTCAGTATACAATGCCACTGTTAATATGAATGTTTGTCTATACTGGGGGCCGAAGACATGAGCTGAATATGATACAATAATCCAAGTTTCAGTAGCATAAGAACTACTAGACAGCCAACGCATTTCACTTAAGCAACACTGCAGCACTGCTAAATTTTCATAGGTAGTTCAGGTCATTAACTTCTTCAATGTGTAAATAGAAACCTACTAGCACTATACTGAAGGGTAAGTGAGCAACAGGACTTCTGTGATCTTACTCTCTCCTTCCTCCTCTTCTCTGTCTTAATAAACCTGTGTCTGCTTTCAAAATAGAGGGTAAACAAACCTTCCCTCAAAGAACTAAATTAGTATAACCAAAATAAAAACTGTATTACCAGTTATGGCATCTAAATAAAACCTAATTGTTAGCATGCTAGACACCACGGTTTATACTAAAGTTCAGAGAACTTAACGCGACCAAGTGGGTAAGTAGGGTGTGAAGTAGGAGTAAAAAAAAAAAAAAAGGGCTTTTTGAAAAGGTTAAAGACTTATGTTTTAAAAAAAGGAAGAAAAAAAAAAACACTATATAATAGCTCACAGTTTTCTTCTTTGCAATAAACTTTAAAGTGTTTAAGTGTTACTTCTGGAAACACACAAAGGCAAATAAAAGGAAGACAAAACCGGAAGACTAAAAAAAAAAATCAACAGGCAAGCAACTTAAACACATGTTAATTTTGTTAAAATAATCCATGAAGTCAAATCAGTTTCAAGAACACAAAAGTGAAGACAAGTGTTCTGCTGCTCTCCCAAGCAGCTAATTCACGCTCAACACAGCAGTGCCATATTGTTCTTTTGAGCCCCTTACAGAATACAGAACTATGCATTCTCAATACACTTATTACACTTCTATTATTTTTAATGTACAAGTCAAATTTCTATGCTTTCTTCCAGATGTGCAAACTGGAGCCCATGTCTGTATTATCAATGGCCTGGAAGGGTCACCAAATGAAGAGGTAAATATGTACTTTAGTGGCCCATCCCCTTTCCTATCCCCCAAATTTCCCTCTCAAATTACAAAGCTGTTTCTAAAAAATTTGTTCAATTAGAATAGTAAGTCTTTTATTTCTTACTAGTAAACACAAGAGATCTTTACATTACTAAATTTCTTAATAAAAATCTAGGTCCTCATCACCTGCTCTATGCTTCAACGCACAGAATGTTATCTGAATGGGAAAAGACTAAACACATGTGTAAGCACATACTGGAGCCAACAGGAAAGTCGGCCAACGCTCATGTGCAATACAACTCAACCAGATGGTCCTCTGTCAAAAAAGTGTATTCCTGAGGAGACAATTTGGGGTTTCTTTTTAAGGTGGTAACTAAAAGAAATAAACTTTTGGCAAGGAAATTAAAGTTGTCATTTTAATTCCATTCAACACAGTCAAGACCCATGTCATCAAACTGCATTTAATAAGTCTGAAAACCTAATTAAAATATTCATACCTGGGTCAAATTCTTTCTTTAAACTGTGATCACTGATTACCTCCTTTAAATATAAGTAGCTGTTTCATTAAGCCAGGAAGGAAGAGGTATATATTATTGAGGGAGAACAGCAAGTAAAAATATTTAAGACCTATTATGAGTTTTAAATTGTTTTCTTATACAAGTGAATTAAAATTCAACACCGTAATTCTTACCCTTTTGTAAAAACCTCACACGCAATTTTTACCAAATATAACCACATACAATAAGCAGTTTCAATTCAATCTATCAAAAGGGAAGTTTCTTCAGTTCATTCCAACAAGTTATCTTCTGATTGAATCCAAGTTGGAGGAAGGAATATAGAGAAAGCTTTACATGCTAATTACCAGTGGCAGGTACCTGTATTTAAAATCAACAGTTATGGTTTTCCTACACAAAACCCACCCCACCCCTCCACCCCCCAACAACCCCAGGTGCTACAGTTCCATGGCTTGCCAGTTAGAGTAGTGTCTATGTTGTCAAGGTCTATCTTTGTTCCAGTAGCTTTGCTTCTACTGCACTTTTCTGACATGCAGAAGTGAAATTTTGGTTGGTCTATGTCCCAAGTTTCAAACCGTCTGTTTTAAATTTTTTTTTAAGTTTCTTTTGTTTTATTTATAAAAGAAAAGAGGCGACTCTTCACCATTCTGCATCTCCAATGGCTTTGGAAAATATATAATCTCTTCCATTAAGATTCATAATGCCATCCTTAAGATGAAACTTCCATTTGTTTTTACTCCTATGTATCTAAATAAACAAAAACAAAATTTAAAGAGTATAAGAAACACAATGAGAAAACTAAGGACAATAAAAATCCATTTACAAAATCCTGCAACACTGTCTTATATAAGACCATATTTGGATACTGGTTTCTTAATAAAGTTTAACTTGACAAAACAAAATTCTCTCAGTAGGTGGGTTTTAAACAAGTAATGAATTTATCTGTAATTTTTATTTTTATAGCTTCTCAAACTTATGTTCATTAAAGTAGCTAATATTTCTCTGTTAAATACATCCTACCAGGCTTGCATATACACTTTTTTTAAAAAAAAGATTTACTTGGGGCCGGCGCCGTGGCTCAGTAGGCTAATCCTCCACCTTGCGGCGCCGGCACACCGGGTTCTAGTCCCGGTTGGGGCGCCGGATTCTGTCCCGGTTGCCCCTCTTCCAGGCCAGCTCTCTGCTATGGCCAGGGAGTGCAGTGGAGGATGGCCCAGGTGCTTGGGCCCTGCACCCCATGGGAGACCAGGAAAAGCACCTGGATCCTGGCTCCTGCCATCGGATCAGCGCGGTGCGACGGCTGCAGCGGCGGCCATTGGAGGGTGAACCAACGGCAAAAAGGAAGACCTTTCTCTCTCTGTCTCTCTCTCTCACTGTCCACTCTGCCTGTCAAAAAAAAAAAAAAAAAGATTTACTTGAAAGAGTTACACAGAGAGAGAAAGAGAGGCAGAGAGAGAGGGGTCTTCCATCCACTGGTTCACTCCCTAACTGGCCACAATGGCTGGAGCTGCGGCAGTCCGAAGCCAGGAGCTTCTTCCGGGTCTCCCATGTGGGTTCAGGGGCCCAAGGACTTGGGCCATCTTCCACCTTTTTCCCAGGCCATAGCAGAAAGCTGGATCAGAAGCGGAGCAGCTGGGACTCAAACCAGCGCCCATATGGGATGCCGGCACTTCAGGCGGTGGCTTTACTTGCTAAGCCACAGAGCGGGCCCTGCATATACACTTCCAGGGTCAACCTCAAAAATACAGTGACAGTGTCTTCCACAAAAGCTTTCCCTAATCTCAGCAGCTGAAACTTTTTCTAACTAATAAAATCACAAAGGCAACTTCTAGAATTAACTGTAAGTAATGCTACATACAGAATTTCTACTACTACACAATTTAAAAAGTAGAAACAACAACAACAACAAATTTGTGACCGGATTCCTTCTATCAAAATAAAACTCTTTCCAGTATTCTCAAAATCTAACATACAACTTTATGCACTGTAGTACTTAAATACACCTGAAGGAATACTAATCATCCAGTGATTTACAGCCTATTTCAATAAACTATATCCACAGTTAAGCCAAAATACTGAAATCACTTAGTTCAAATTGCACATCTTCTGCAATCAAGGCCCCACAGTTCTCCCTATTCTATGATATTAAGGTACCTTTCAAAATCTACTAGTTCAGGCATTCACTTTCCAAAAGGAAAGAAATTATAGCTTAGAATGGTTCAGTGACTTGACCGAGGGTATATTGCTATCAGGTGACAAAGATGATCTTCAAGTTCTGGTCTAATACTCTTCCTACTATATCAGTCTGTTTCATATGATAATGCAGAAATGCTCACCACCTACAGGTATTTTCTGCGATCCAGTTCTTAAAATTCCACAGTCTACCCTTGCAGTACAATCCAAACGGTCACTATGGCATATTCTTGGCAAATGGCTATTTATTGCTGGCTTGGATATAATTAGAGAAGAGGGAAGGGGGAAGCAAAGAAATTCCAAATTAAGCTGCTCCATTCTGGGAATGCTCTTTTTTTTTCAGTCTTTCATATTTTACTACTCAATGAAATATTTCTTCCAACTTCCATTAACTGATACTAGTTCTGCCTTTTGAGATTTTAAAACAACACTTCATGTATTTAAAAATCACTCTCATGTTCAGAGAGAGGAGGAGACAGAAAGAGAGATCTTCTATCCACTGGTTCACTCAAATGGCCCCAATGGCCAGGGCTGGGTCAGGTCAAAGCCAGGAGCTTCTTCCGGGTCTCCTATGTGGGTGGCAAGGGCCCAGGGACTTGGTCCATCTTCCACTGCTTTTCCAGGCACATTAACAGGGAGCTGGATCAGAAGTAGAGCAGCTGGGACTTAACACAGCGCTGAGATGGGATGCTGGCACTGCAGGCAACAGCTTAACTTGCTGCACCACATTGCTGGCCTCTTGATTCTTCTTCTTTTTTTTTTTTGACAGGCAGAGTGGACAGTGAGAGAGAGAGACAAAGAGAAAGGTCTTCCTTTTGCCGTTGGTTCACCCTCCAATGGCCGCCACGGCCGGCGCGCTGCGGCCGGCACGCTGCGGCCGGCGCACCGCGCTGATCCGATGGCAGGAGCCAGGAGCCAGGTGCTTTTCCTGGTCTCCCATGGGGTGCAGGGCCCAAGCACCTGGGCCATCCTCCACTGCACTCCCTGGCCACAGCAGAGAGCTGGCCTGGAAGAGGGGCTTGATTCTTCTTTTTAAAAAAATATTAAATATCGGGGCCAGTGCTGTGGCGTAATGGATTAAGCCGCCACCTGCAGTATCAGCATCCCATATGGGCACCAGTTCGAGACTCAGCTGCTCCACTTCCTATCCAGCTCTCTGCTATGGCCTGGGAAAGCAGTAGAAGATGGCCCAAGTCCCTGGGCCCTTGCACCAGAGTGGGAGACCCAAAGGAAGCTCCTAGCTCCTGGCTTTGGACTGGCACAGCTCAGGCCGTTGCGGCCAATTGGGGAGTGAACCAGAGGACAAAAGACCTCTCTCTCTCTCTGTCTCTCCTCCTCTGTGTAACACTTTCAAATAAATAAATCTTTAAAAAATATTAAATGTCACATATTTATCATTACACTTGCTTTCATTTTATTTGAAAGGCGCGTGTGGGAGAGGGAGGGTCGCTTCCATATACTGGTTCACTTCTCCAATGCTGACAATAAGAGATGGACCAGGCCAAAGCCAGGAGCCTGAAACTCAATCCAGTCTCCCATGTGTGGCTAGGATCTAGGTACCTGAGACATTACCTGCTGGCACTAAGGGTGGGCATTAGCAGGAAGCTAGAATTAGAAGTGGAACCAGAAATGGAACACAAACCCTGAAATATGGGATGTAGGTGTTTTAACTGCTGTACCAAATATCTACCCTCTCTTTTTCTTTCCTATCATACATCCAAGAAGTCAGGAAAATTTACTGACTCCTCCTTCAATGTAAGTCCAAGATCCAAACACTTCTCACCAATTTGAATACTATCACCATAGTATGAGTCACAGTATCACTTACCTGGATTATTACAACATCCTGGTCTAAATAGACTCCTTGTTTTAACCCTTGCTTCCTCCCTACAACTATTCTCAACAAAGAAGGCAAAGTAATCTTTTTAAAATTTAAATTGGATGATACTTTTTGTTTTTTGAACCTTTTAACAGACTTCTGATTCAAGTGGGTTAAGAGTCCATGTCCTCACAAAGACTCACACCACCTGACTTAACTACCGTACTAACTTCCTACTCCAGTCCAGCCAAGTTTTGTCCTTGCAGTTTCTCACACACAGCTGGCAGCCTATACCAACAGATAACAAGAGGAGCTAACTGTCTTTAGCTTTTTGCTCAAATACCACCTTCTTGAAAGAACTACTATGATTATTCTGTTTAAAACTGAAACCTGTCCCCACCCCTTCCCTATGTAGTATTTTTCAAACTACCAGTTTCTAATGTACCATACTAATGAATTAATCAATTATATTTTAGCATCTGTCTCATTTCTTTCTTTTTTTTTTTTTTTAAGATTTATTTCTATTTATTTGAAAGAGAGAGAGGTAGAGACAGAGAAAGAGGTCTTCCATCAGCTGGTTCACTCCCCAGATGGCCGCAACAGCCGGAGCTGTGTCAATGCAAAGCCAAGAGCCAGGAGCTTCTCCCGGGTCTCCCACAGGGGTGCAGGAGCTCGAGGACCTGGGCCATCCTCCACTGCTATCCCAGGCCATAGCAGAGAGCTGGACTGGAAGTAGAGCAGCCGGGACTAGAACCAGCGCCCATATGGGATGCTGATGCTTTAGGCCAGGGCATTAACCTGCTGCGCCACAGCACTGGCCCCAGCATGTCTCACTTTATGAGAGTAAACTTCTCAATCACAGGGATTATGTTGTTTCGCTTTGTTCACTAGTGTATTTCAGGCTCATAGAATAATGTCCTGGGACACCTTAGACACTCCTGAGTTCTTGTTGAATGAAAAAGACCTCTGTCTCTCCTTTTCTTTGATTCCCTATATAGAAATATCCCAAACCTATGCATGCAAATTCATTTCCAGCCTGAAATTAATGACTGCAACCTGAAAGATACTGAAATTATATAGACAAAAATAACAAGTGATGAGTAGCCAAGGAACAGAAATTCCACAGACAAGAAATTGATTACTGCAGGGCAACCAGCAAAAAAAATGTAGAAAAGTTCCATGGGCTAAATAATAGTCCAAATACTCAGCCCTGAAATCTCACTGAGTAGTAGATGATAAATATTTTAATTTGAAGAAATGTAGAAAATACAACTTGAAAAGCAATGCATTTACTTCATGAAGTAATGTCCTATATATGCCAGGAGAAAGGCCTCTTAAACTTCTCAATCAAAATGTGTTATAGTGAAATAGAGGGCCAGTGCTGTGGCATAGTGGGCTTGGCATCCACCTGTGGAGCCAGCATCCCATATGGATGTTGGTTTATGTCCCAGCTGCTCCTCTCTTCCACTCCAGGTCTCTATTATGGCCTGTGAAAGCAGCAGAAGATGGACCAAGTGCTTGAGGCCTTGCATCCGTGTGGAAGACCTGGAAGAAGCTCTTGGTTACTGGCTTCAGACTGGCCCAGCTCTGGCCATGGCAGATATTTGGGGAGTCAACCAGCAGTTGAAAGATCTCTGTATCTCCTTATCTACACTAAGTAATGTGAGAATTTTGCTACTATATTAGCATTTAACTAAGATTCTGATTTGACTGGCAATACAAACTTTATTTCTTCTAAAACTGACTCATTATTGAAACTCTAAAGTTTAGGTTTCAAAACTAAACTCTTAAAATTCAAGTTGGTTCAAGCTATATCCAACTCCAGAGCACTACCATTCTTTACTGTTGGCTAAAACAGCAAGCTCCCAAGCCCTCCAATCCTTAAAACCTTTGAACACAGTCATTTCATTCCTTAAGATTTATTTGAAAGGCAGAGTTACAGAAAGAGACAGGAAGAGACAAACATAAACACATACACATAGACAGAGAGAATCTTCCATCTACTGGATCACTCCCCAAATGGCCACAGTTAGTGGGGAACCAGATTAGCAGGGGAGCAGCCGGAACTCAAACCAGTGCCCGTATGAGATGATGATGTTACATGTGGTAGCTTTACCCACGACGTTACAACACTGGCCCCAGTCATTTGATTCTTAAAAAAGACAACTCCGCAAACTTTAAAACTATTCATCATTCAACATGCCATTTAAAGCTATTTTTAGTGTATTGGTTAAAACTTTAATGTCTCTGGTAGTAAATAAACCAATTTTAACATTTAAACAATTTTAACATTTAAAAAATATGTACAGTTTGTGCCAAAGGAGAAATTAATCATTCTCTTAGAAGAAGAAGGCATATTCTTCAGTCAGGCTAGGTAGAGGTCCTATCTTGACTGATAAATCTGACATCTTATTATAATCAAATTGTGTTCAGGGTAATTTGGTCGAAAATGATTCCCTTGAGATTTCTTGACAATAAAGTGGTTTTTTTTTTTTTTTTTTTTTTTTTTTTGACAGGCAGAGTGGATAGTAAGAGAGAGAGACAGAGAGAAAGGTCTTCCTTTTGCCGTTGGTTCACCCTCCAATGGCCGCCACGGCCTGCGCGCTGCGGCTGGCGCACCGCGCTGATCCGATGGCAGGAGCCAGGTGCTTCTCCTGGTCTCCCATGGGGTGCAGGGCCCAAGCACTTGGGCCATCCTCCACTGCACTCCAGGGCCACAGCAGAGAACTGCCCTGAAGAGGGGCAACCGGGACAGAATCCAGCGCCCTGACCGGGACATGAACCTGGTCTGCCGGCGCCGCTAGGTCGAGGATTAGCCTAGTGAGCCACGGCACCAGCCAACAATAAAGATTTATTACTACCTGCTGTTTTAACCTCATACTTCTGCTCTAGGAAATTACATTTTTTAAATGAATACATCAAAACCAAAATTGTACTACAATTTAAATGTCAAGGCAACAAAAATCTCAACAACCACAACAAAAATAAAAGTACTTTGAAGTGTTCTGTTTAAGAAGTAAGAATATGGGTAGGTTTTTGGCTCAGCAGTTAGAATTCCACCTTATTGGAGTGCCAGACTTTGACTCCTGGTTCAAATTTTGACTCCAGCTAATGTACATCCTGAAAGGTAGCAGGTGGTGGGTCAAAGAATTGGTCCCTACTGCCCACATGGGAGGCTTGGATTCAGTTCTTAGCTCTTGGCTTCAGTCTGGCCCAATCCTGGCTGTTGTGGGAATTTGGGGGAGTAAACCAGCAGACAGAAGATCTCTTTCTGCCTTTTTTTTTTTTTTAATTTTTTTTTATTTGAAAGTCAGAATTATACAGAGAGGAGAGGCAGGGGGAGAGAGAGAGAGAGAGAGAGAGAGAGGTCTTCCATCTGCTGGTTCACTCCCCAGATGGCCTCAACAACCAGAGCTGCACTGATCCAAAGCCAGGAGCCAGGAGCTTCTTCCGGGTCTCCTATGGGTACAAGGACCCAAGCACTTGGGCCATCTTCCACTGCTCTCCCAGGCCACAGCAGATTGCTGGCTTGGAAGAAGAGCAGCTGGGACTCGAACTGGCACCCATATGGGATGCTGGCGCTGCAGGCAGGGGATTAATCTACTGCGCCATGGCGGTGGCCCCCTCTCTGCCTTTCAAATACATAAATAAAAAAGCATTAAGAACATAATGAGTCAATAGGTAATTCTCACAGAATCTGGTTTAGAAATTCCTAATGTTACCCAAGTATAGCAAAGCTAAATAATTTTTGACTAACTTTCAGAAAAAATTAATCATTAGGGCTAGCACTGTGGTACGGTGGATTAAGCACTGTGGCAATGGCATCCATATGGGCATGGGTTTGACTCTAGGTTGCTCCACTTCCAATCTAGCTCCCTGCTAATTTACCTGGGAAAGCAGGGGAAGATGATTCAAGTACCTGGGCCCCCACCAGCCTTGTGAGAGACCAGAAGAAGCTCCTTGCTTCAGATTGGCCCAGCTCTGACCACTGCAGCCATTCGGAGAGTGAATCATTGGACGGAAGATTTCTCTCTAACTCTGCCTTTCAAATAGCCTTAGTCCTCTTCTTAGTTTAAAAACAAAAAAGTACAGGCCTGCATTGTGGTGAAACTTGCATCCCATTCAAGCATTGATTTAAGTTCTGGCTGCTCCATTTCTGATTCTGCTCCCTTCTAATGCACTTGGGAAAGTAGTGGAAAATGTTCAAATGCTTGGGCCCCTGCCACTCATATGGGAGAACAGGATGGAGTTCCAGGCTTCTAGCTTTTGCCTGGCCCAGCCCTGGATGGTATGGTCATTTGAGGAGTGAATTAGCAGATGGAGTATCTCCTGCTCTCTCTGTAACCATCTATCAAATAAATAAATAAATCTTTAACAACGAATTAACAAAAAAAGGATGATGCCCCCAAAGTGGTTTTGTTTATTTCACTTACAGATCGAGAGTCTAAATAGGGGCCAGCATTCTGATACAGTGGGTTAATTCATAGTGTTCAGTGCTAGCATCCTATATAGGTGCTGGTTTGATCCTGGCTGCTCCACTTCTAATCCAATTCCCTGCTAATGTGCCTGGAAAAGCAGCTGAAGATGGCCCAAGTGATTGGGTCCCTGCCACCCACATGGGAGATCTGGATAGTTCCAGGCTCTTGGCTCCCGCCTGGCCCAACCACAGCTTTTGTAGCTATTTGGTAAGTGAACCAAGGGACAGAAGATCCTTCTATTTTTCTATCAAATTCTTTCAAATAAATAGATCTTTTTTAATAAAAAAGTATAAATAAAAAAACTTAAACATACAAAATTAATCTCGTTCTAGTGAAACAATGTAAGAAACTATAACAATGCTTTTTTTTTTTTTTTTTTAATTTCATTTACTTATTTGAGAGGTAGAATTCAGATAGAAAGAGGGAGAGACATAGAGAAAGGTCTTCCATCCACAGGTTTATTCCCCAAACGGCTGCAATGGCCAGAGCTGGGTCAAATGGAGCTAGGAACCAGGAGCTTCTTCCTGGTCTCCCACACGGGTGCAGGGTCCAAGCACTTGGGCCATCTTCTACTGCTTTCCCAGCCTACAGCAGAGAGCTGGATTGCACAGGAGCAGCCAGGACATGAAGTTGTAGCCATACGCAATGCCAACACTGCGAGCAGAGGTTTAGCCTACTACGCCACAGCACTGGCCCCCTATAACAATGTTCTTACATTTTTTATAATGAATATAACAGGTATTAATCACTTACCTTGATGTTTCAATAAGGCAAAAAGGTTGGTTTAGGGAAAAAACTACAACAGAAATAACATCAGTCATCTGATAATAAAATCCTTACCTTATCATATTGGCATACAACAACATTTTCTGTGTCAAAGAGTTCCTGTCCTTCCTCATCACTCACATCATCTTCACTATTGAGTGGTTCCTACAAATAAAAGAAAGTCTGCATGTTTATATCCAATGTATTACAAAAAAGCCCTTAAATAGTCAATGAAAGTAATATAGTCACCTTGATATTTTCTGAAAACCAAATAGCAAATGCATCTAAATCTTTATGTATATTTTCTTCTGGGTATCTTAAAAAGTTATTGTGGAGAATTATTTTCATAAAGATTATGACAAAGTTGACCATCTTTTTTAAACTTGGAAGTTAGGTTAACTACTGTTGCTTAATTTCTTGCTGACACTTCAGTAATACTGACGAACTCTTCAACAACAGCTAAAGATACTATGTTCATAGTATGCCTATGTGCACACACACACAAAGTTTCATGAGATAATGGTACCATGTACCAGAAACAGTATGAAAGAGAAAACTGGTGAAACTGGAGGAGAAAAGATGGGCAATAACAATGTTCTAGTAGTCTGGCCTGTGTCTACAAATAAGGGACTAGGACTCTGAATACAAATCAACAGCCATACCATTGTGATGCTTATGGGAAAGGGAAGCATGAAGAATAATTAAGATTCAAGTATTAAAGAAAAAAAAGATGGGACTGGAAATCTCAGAACCAAAGAAAAGGGCCAAAATAAATTCTGAGTATAAGATGACCAACTAAGGGCTGGCACTGTGTCACAGCTGGTTAACAACCTGGCCTGAAGTGCCGGCATCCCATATAGGCACCAGTTTGAGACCCAGCTGCTCCACTTCCAATCCAGCTCTCTGCTCTGGCCTGGGAAAGCAGTAGAGGATGGCTGAAGTCCTTGGGCCCCTATACCCATGTGGGAGACCCGGAAGAAGCTCCTGGCTTCGGATCGACACAGCTCTGGCCATTGCGGCCAACTGGGGACTGAACCATCGGATGGAAGACCTCTCTGTCTCTCTCTCTCTCTGCCTCTCCTCTCTCTGTGCTACTCTGTCAAATCTTTAAAAAAAAAAAAAAAAGATGAACAACTACATCAAACTTGACCTCAGTTGTGATGATAAAAGATGTAGCTCACATTTCTGATAAAAGATAGGACAGAATTAAAGTAAAAAGGAAAATAGAATATTAAGTATGGACCAACACATATTTACACCCATGCATGTACATGTAGCCTATAACCTAAAACAGACCATCACCAACGTAAAATGTAAAAATATTTATTTATTTTTATTTTTTATTTTTTGACAGGCAGAGTGGACAGTGACAGAGAAAGACAGAGAGAAAGGTCTTCCTTTGCCGTTGGTTCACCCTCCAATGGCCGCCACAGCCGGCGGCAGGCGCACCGCGCTGATCCGATGGCAGGAGCCAGGTACTTCTGGTCTCCCATGGGGTGCAGGGCCCAAGCACTTGGGCCATCCTCCACTGCACTCCCGGGCCACAGCAGAGAGCTGGCCTGGAAGAGGGGCAACCGGGACAGAATCCGGCGCCCTGACCGGGACTAGAACCCGGTGTGCCGGCGCCACAAGGCAGAGGATTAGCCTAGTGAGCCGCGGCACCAGCCAATTATTGAGTTTAAATTGGTAACTTTAACAAATTTAAAGTGCAAAATTCAGTCATATTAAAGACATTCATAATGCATATAACTATCACCACTAACTAGTTCCAGAATGTTTCATACTTAATCATTAAGTAGTCACCCCCATTCCCCCTTCCTATCCTCTGGCAACCGCTAATCTTCACTCTGTACAGAATTGCCTATTCTGGCTATTTTGCATAAATGGATCACATAATATGCAGTATTTTGCATCTAAATTCCTTCACCTGGCATGTTTTCAAGGTCCATACATGCTGAAGCACATAGCACTAATACATACTCATTCTTACTCATGGTTAAATATTATTTCACTGCATCTATATATCATTTTTCTAATCTTCAACTGATGAACATTTGGGTTATATTTTTTAGATTATCATGAATAGTGCGCTATGAACATTCATTTACTAGTTTTTTTGTGTGTGGATACCCAATTTTCATTATCTTGCACACTGTTCAGTCATATGGCTAATTCTATGCTTAACTTTTTCAGGAACCACCACAAAAACTACAAGATTTGACATTCTCATCATCAATGCACAGTGTTCCAATTACTGCATTACTTTTTTGATTAAACCCATCTAGCGTGTATGAAGTATCTCACTGTGGTTCTGGTTTGCATTTTTCTAATGCTGCTGAGCATTTTTTCATGTGTTTGTTGGCTATTTGTGTCATTTGGGGAAATGTCTATTAAAGTCCTATGGTCACCTTTTCATTAGATTTTTGTTTTTTGAACTGTAAGAGTTCTTTACACATTCTGGATACTGGATCCTTAACAGATAAATGATCTGTGATTCTGTAGGCCATCTTTTTACCTTCTTGATACTGTCCTTTCACGCACACGTTTTAAATCTATAATGTCTACTTTTTTCATTGGTTGCTTGTACTTTTGGCATCATACTTAAGGAACTATTGTCAAATACAAGGGTTTGAAGATTTACTTCTATGTTTTCATCTGAGAGTTTCAAAATTTTAGCTCACAGATTTGGGTCTCTGATTTGTTTTGACTTAATCTTTGCATATGAGGTGAATTAGGGGGTCTTACTTCACAATTTTTCATATGGATAATCAGTTAAGCACCCTTTGGTAGAAAGTCAATTCTTGCCCTATTAAACACTGTTTGCTGGTGCAATGATAAGTAATACCAGTACTGCTCTACTAGTATCATGAAAACTGACCTCATAGTTAAATAAATATATGTATATATTTTTTATATATACGCACACACACATAAACACATTACTAGATACAGTGAGACACTATTATCATAAGTGATTCAGTTAACTGAGAAAAAAACAATTTTAAGCCTATATGCACCCATTTTTAGGTTTCAAATATGCACAGAACATATACAAAATATCAAGCAAAACTCAATCAATTCCAAAGGATTCACACATCATAGGTCCAATAAAAAAAACAGGTCTACAAAATAACAGAATGAAAATCAACAGGGAAACACAGTGGAAAGAATAAACAAAGCTAAACGTTCATTCTCTGAAATGAATTCTAATGAAATCAACATCCCTGGAAAGACTGAAAAAAAAAAAAAAAAGAGTAAAAAGGCACAACAGGGCTGGTGCCGTGCCACAGCAGGTAGAGCCACCACCTGCAATGCCAGCATCCCATATGGGTGCCGGTTCCAGTCCTGGATGCTCCACTTCCAATCCAGCTCTCTGCCATGGCCTGGGAAAGCAGTGGAAGATGGCCCAAGTCCTTGGGCCCCTGCATCCATGTGGCAGACCCAGAAGAAGTTACTGGCTCCTGGCTTTGGATTGGCACAGCTCCGGCTGTTGTGGCCATCTGGGTAGTGAACCAGCAGATGGAAGATCTCTCCCTCTCTCTCTGCCTTTCAAATAAGTAAATAAATCTTAAAATAAATAAATAAAATCAAGTTTCATCCTGAAAAAAATTATTAAAAAAAGAAGAAAAAGAAGGCACCACAATACTAGAAGCGAGATCAAAGAATAAATTACAAATGATTCTGGCACCAAAATGATGACATGATTATTTTATGTTAGTCAGTTAGAAAATTAAGATAAATACATGAGTATTTGAAAAAGTTTATGAAAAACTGAATTGACAGTTTACGGTGGTACAAAAAAATTTTGAAAACCATTCATATGTAGGGTCTTCAAAAAGATCATGGAATTATCAAGGAAAAAAAACCTGCATGGATTTCAAACTTCTTTATCTTTTAATTTTTCATTAACTTTTTGAGGTACTTATATACAGAATCCTAGAAAACTGTAACTTACCAAACTGTCTCAAAAAGAGAAACAATACATGAATACAGATTACTAACCCAGATGTTTTTTAATAGCATGTTTTAATATTCATAGAATTCAGTACAATCTTTAAGAAAAAAATCAAAATGGAGGAAAAATTCCAAAAAGTTTATTTTACAAGTCTCAATAAACCTGAAAACTTGGTAAGAAGAATATTAGAACAGAAAGAAACATATCACTTATGAATATACATGCAAAAGTTCTAAACACAATGAATTTAGCAATTTTCAAAAAGCAAACCACAAAAGGATCAAGTTATATCATCCCAGCAATACAAGATTGGTCTACAAACAGAAAATCAATTAGTGAAACTCACCATAACAACAGATTAAAAGTGAGAATCTATCTAACAGTTGCAAAAAAGGAATTTAATGAAATTCAACATTCATTTTTAGTTTAAAAAGCAAAAGCAAAGCTTTTAGTTAATTATGAGTAAGAGAGTATTTCCTTACCCTGATAAAGGATAGTCATAGAAAAACCTACAGCAAACATGTTTAACAGTGAACCACTGGACAGATTAATTTTAAGTTGAAGAACAAGATAAAAGTTCTGCTAATGTCCATTTTTAATCAATATTGTTCTTAAGAGCTTAGCCAAGAAGACAAGAAAAATTGCCATTTTCCATATGTAATATTACCTTTTTTAACAGAGAAAACAAAAAAAAACCTCTACAGATACAATACTGAAAGTAATATGGCATTAGGAAGGTGGCTGGACCAAATATGAGTATTAAAAGTTCTATACATTTCCATATTGCTAACGAAAGACACAGTAAAACTATATCACTTAGAATAGCATCAAAACTCTATGGAATAAAAACAGAGATTAAGTTTACCTACATGAAAAAAATAGTAAATTAAAATAGGCCAAAACTCACAAATAATCAAGGAAACACCGCCAAAAAACAAAATGAGACACTGGTATATAGGTATATACTATAACTACACTGATATACTATATTCCAAAATAGGTATGTAGGCATAACAGAATAGCAGAAATTAAGAAGCCTGACAGTATCATGTATTAGTGACACCAGCACAATTATATGCTGAATGGTAGAAATTTAACAGCATAACAATCTTTTTTTTTTTTTTTTTTGACAGGCAGAGTGGACACTGAGAGAGAGAGAGAGACAGAGAGAAAGGTCTTCCTTTGCCGTTGGTTCACCCTCCAATGGCCGCCGCGGCCGGCGCGCTGCGGCCGGCGCACCGCGCTGATCCGATGGCAGGAGCCAGGAGCCAGGTGCTTTTCCTGGTCTCCCATGGGGTGCAGGGCCCAAGCACCTGGGCCATCCTCCACTGCACTCCCTGGCCACAGCAGAGAGCTGGCCTGGAAGAGGGGCAACCGGGACAGAATCCGGCACCCCGACCGGGACTAGAACCCGGTGTGCCGGCGCCACTAGGCGGAGGATTAGCCTAGTGAGCCGCGGCGCCGGCCTAACAGCATAACAATCTAACACTTTACTATAAAGTTAAAGATATGTATGCTTTAAGATCCAGCAATTCAATGCTTAGGTATCACACTTACAGACACCACTATTTATGTATCCTCAGAGTATACATATTAGTGTATTTTGTAACTTCTTAACAGGGAACAAACAGAAATGACTCCATTGCTAACTAGATCAGAAAAATGGGTGAATAAATGTAGTTAACAGTTAAATTAATTATAAATATATATATATATAAAACATCTTGTATGAACCTTAAGAACATAAATTTAAAAACAATTTGTAGAACACATAAAAAATTATTCCATTTGTTACAAATGGAAAACCAAAACTAGACAAAATGCTGTTCAGGGATTTAAGTCCCTGGTAAAATAGAAAGGCAAGATTGTGATAAACATAAAATGCATGAGCATGAACGAATAATCTGATGGCAGAATAAAGATGAGAGCAATGGGAGAGGCACAAAGACTTTAAGTAACAGGATTTTTTAATTTTTTTTTATTTTTTGACAGGCAGAGTGGACAGTGAGAGAGAGAGACAGAGAGAAAGGTCTTCCTTTTGCCGTTGGTTCACCCTCCAATGGCCGGCACACCGCGCTGATCCGATGGCAGGAGCCAGGAGCCAGGTGCTTTTCCTGGTCTCCCATGGGGTGCAGGGCCCAAGCACCTGGGCCATCCTCCACTGCACTCCCTGGCCACAGCAGAGAGCTGGCCTGGAAGAGGGGCAACCGGGACAGAATCCGGCGCCCCAACCGGGACTAGAACCCGGTGTGCCGGCGCCGCTAGGTGGAGGATTAGCCTAGTGAGCCGCGGCGCCGGCCTAACAGGATTTATTTTTTAACTACATGGTTATGTGTAAGTTTTCAGAAGAAACTGGAATGGAATATGGGCCATAAGGAAAATTTTAAATGATTTTGTCATATTTAGTTTTTCTTGAGTTTCCTCTCTCCAAATGTTGCCATAACTTTTTAATTACTGAAGCAAAAGATTAATTACATATTCTACCAATGTCATACGTTTAAGCCACATTAATAATAACCCAAATGCTTAGATTTAATTTCACGAACTAAATTATTTTATTACTAGGATTTAATGTGGTATATTTTTATGTTTTATTACTAAGTACATTAAATAATTGTATCTTATGAATACAACCCACACAATCTTATTTTTCTTAAAATTTTATGTTGCACAGTCCCTAAGAGCCTCTGAAAAAATTAAGATACAATTCATTAGTTTGGCACAAGGAAAATAAGAAATCATCATGCAGATTCTCATTCCAAGATTTTTACTAGAAACTTACTTCTTCCACCTGTCCATCCTCAGCTCCATCTTTCTCTTTGTCTTCCTCTTCATCGTCATCATAATCTTCTTCTTCATCTTCATCTTCTTCAGATGACGTATCCCCAGTTCCATCAACTTGTAACACCAATGGAGCTTGCTGTTGAGCAGGCTGGGCCTGCGGCTGCTGCTGGCCAGTGGCAGTTATCTGTGCTTGTGCTGGTGTAGGTGCTGCCACTGTTGTAGGTATAACTTGAGTCTTATTTCCTGTAAATAAGATTTGCTGAGGCTGGATGATGACACCTGTCTGTGGTGAAATCCCTCCAGGAAGAGGGGCCAATACCTGTGGCAAAAGAAAACCACATGTTAGGAACTACTTACAGGATCAAGTACCATACAAAGAAATAGGCTCACATGTTGAAGAATCACCAGAAACAGCCATATCTCATATTTAGTTAAAGCTGATGAAGTACAAAAGCAATGGTAAACTAGTATAGATTCACTAAATTTTTATTTTATCATTCAAACTGCTGCAAGAAAAAGATTTTCCAAAGCAAAACTGTTTGATTACTGAGTACTTACTAGGCCAAGACTTATACAGTTATTAGTTTATTTGTTTGAGACGAATAGAGAGGTAGTAACTTACAAACCTTGCCATCACTACAAGGCAAAACCTGAACCTGAACTTTCTGGCTCAAAGCCCATGTCTGCACTATTATACTATACCAGCTCCGCACGAAGAACAGAGGACTGAGAATCTGGAGACTCAATCTACTTTTGTCTAAGAGCAGCTTCAGATATAGCTATAGCAAAGGCAAGTCATTTAACCACTCCTGGCTTTTGTCACTTCACTGTGAGACTAAGTTCAATGATTCTTGACACTGGATATAAGAACCACCTGATGGCTTTAAAAGTACTGGTTCTGAGGCCAGTGCTGTGGCACATGTTAATCCTCCATCTGTGGCACCAACATCCCATATAAGCGCTGGTTCTAGTCCCAGCTGCTCCTCTTCCAATCCAGCTCTCCGCTATGGCCTGGGAAAACAGTAGAAAACGGCCCAAGTGCTTGGGCCCCTGCACCCATCTGGGAAACCCAGAAGAAGCTCCTGGCTTTGGATCGGCACAGCTCCAGCTGTTGTGGCCATCTGGATAGTGAAGCATTGGATGGAAGACCTATCTCTCTCTTTCTGCCTCTCCCTAACTCTGCCTTTCAAATAAATTAATTTATCTTAAATTAATTTATCTTAAAAAAAATAACCAAACTAAACGACACCTTGGATACTAGAAGTAAGAGAGGAATCCACACAAACCTTTCCAGAAAACACAGAAGCATCATGAAACTAGTCTCATGTCCACCTTGCTCATTCACAAATTCCTAGCTGCTTGTCAAGACCCTGACACTAAATGCCTGTTGAAGACTGAATCACAGCTCCAGAGCCTGAATGTTGAGTGCTGCCACTGAAGAGGAAGCACATTCGGGGAATGAGGGAGGATGTGCAAAGGTAACAATTACCCAGTTTTAAACAAGTTGAATATAACTTGAGCAATGAGCTGTACAGGAGGAACTTAGAACAAAAAGGTCCACAGCACTGGAAAAGAGTAAGAATTCGAACATAGAAAGCCATGGCAAGAGGAGGGGGAACCACCAAGGAAATCCACACAGAAGAAAAAAAACATGGTGATCATAAAGCAAAATTCTTTTACCTGTTGTATAACTGGAGCTTGTACTCCACCAGGCTGCATTTGTGGTATAACCTGTTGCTGTAGAACCACTGACTGCTGAGGCTGAAAGATGTATTGGGCACCATTGGCTGCTCTGACCACCTGAAGAAGCTGGCCTAAAGCAAAAAACATATATTCAAGTTGCCACTTTAGCAGTGACCATCTCAAAGTGAGCGAATTTGCACTGCATGTCAAACTCCTCAAGGTCTTAGAAATTAACAAGTAGGAAGTCTGATAGTTTTATTAAAGGGAATATCATTCATGTACATTAAGTATACTTCTTACCCCAGAATTCCTCCAAGTTCAAACACATTAGTTAAAATGCTTCATTTTTCAAATAGATCATCCTCATTCACAGCTGTCCTTAATTAAGATTTTATCAATAGATTTCAAGACTTGATTTAAAGCTTTAATTATATTTGCTAAGATTTTTTAAAAAAATTTTTTATTTGACAGGTAGAGTTATAGACAGTGAGAGAGGGAAACAGAGAGAAAGGTCTTCCTTCCACTGGTTCACCCCCCAAATGGCCGCCACGGCTGGCACTGCGCCAATCTGAAGCCAGGAGCCAGGAGCTTCTTCCTGGTCTCCCATGCGGGTGCCGGGGCCCAAGCACTTGGGCCATCCTCCAGTGCCTTCCCAGGCTACAGCAGAGAGCTGTACTGGAAAAGGAGCAACCAGGACTAGAACCTGGCGCCCATATGGGATGCTGGCGCTACAGGTGGAGGATTAACCAAGTGAGCCACGGCGCCAGCCCCCTATATTTGCTAAGATTTTAAAAGTCTGGGAAGAGAGGTAAGATCAGATATTTCAGAGACTATTTGTTTTTAAAGCTTTAGAAAAAAGGAAAGCAGGGCTGGCATCTGACACAACAGTTAAGCTGCCACCTGCGACACTAGCATCCTATAATAGTGCTCCAGTCTCAGCTGTTCTGCTTCCAATCCAGCTCCCTGCTAATGCACTTGGGAAAACAGTGAAAGAGGGTCCAAGTGCTCGAGCCCCTGCCACACATGTGGGAGGGGACCCAGTTAGAGTTCCAGGCTCCTGATTGGCCTGGCCCCGTCCCAGCCAATTGGCCACTGGGGGAGTGAACTAGTGATGAAAGATATCTCTCTCTTTTTAACTCTGCCTTTCAAATAAACAAATAAATCTTTCAAAAAAAAAAAAAGTGTAGTAGTTCATTTGGTGTCTGGAGTACTTCAAAACTGCTTAAAAGCAATAAAAGTTTGATGAGTCAATTACCAACACCACATAACACTAACTGCATGATTACTTAGACACTCTCACTCCTATTGTTACTTTAGATGACCCAGAATCTTGAATTAAAAGTAAACAATTTATCTTATTTAAAATAAGACAAGCCCCTAATTTGTTCTTCACAAATAACTAAAATAACAAAAAATTGTATAATCAGCATTATAGACAGAAGAATTAATATTCAAGTAAATAAATGTTTCAACTAGTATGCCAAAAATAATGAACTAGATACTGGAATTTTACTAATGCGGAGATGTTATATGTAATAACATGCAATAAATTTGCTCTTAAGGTAATACAGGACTTAATTTGATATCACAAATTAAGTTCAAATGAGTCCAGTTTAACTCACTCAGAAGGCTAAATGTGTTTAGTGAAAAACTAAACAAGCATTTCTATATAATCATACTTCATTCAATAATAGGGTTCTTAATTGCACATCAAAAATTCAAGGGGAAATTTCATCTTTACTGTGTCTTCAACAATAATTATAATTGCATGTTCCAAAACCCTCCAAGTTATTCTAATAACCCAAACAAAAAGGTAAAAGAAATAGCAGTATTTTCTGTCTTTCAATCAAGGAAGACAAAACAAGAGTTTGATATAAAATTTTCTAAGCTGCAACACGGACATCCATATGGGCACTAGTTCATGTCCTGGCTGCTCCACTTCTGATCCAGCTCCCTCCTGGTGGTCTGGGAAAAGCTGTGGAAGATGGCCCACGTGGGAAACTGTGAAGAAACTCCTGGTTTCAGCCTGGTCCAGTGTTGGCCACTGTGGCCATTTGAGAGTGAGCCAGCAGATTAAAGATCTCTAACTGCAACTTTCAAAATAAATAAATAAATTTTTAAAAAATTGTTTCACTATTCCTTACTACCTGAATTTGTTAATATCTGTTGAACAGGAGTCACACCTGCAGGGAGTGCCAAAGTTGCAGCTGTAGCAGCAGCACTCTGAAAAAAAAAAAAAAAAAAACAAAGAAAAACAATGAAACCATATATGTATAAAAAAGTATCTCAGCTTAGCTCTTAGCATATTTTAATAGTATATGAAATTATTTAAGTATATATTAAAATGAAAAGTTCTAACACAAAATTTCATTTTATAAAATGATGAGACAATCAAGTCTAAGTGACATACTTAATTAGCTCAAAAATTATATACAACAACACTGCTTTTTTTCACCCCATAGAGAATAGCTTCCAGGACACCTCAAGTATTTTATCTTGTCAACTTTCTTTAAGCCTTCATATACTCAATCTAACCTATACACGTTTAGAAACACCCAGATTAAAAACAATGCTGTATGATATAGGAAAACCATTCCACATTGCTTCCTTTCTCATCCTTTGTTTCCTTATTCCCAATTCCTTGCTTTCAATGAATATACTTGTGGCAAAAGCACCTAGTATCTTCATCTATAATTCCTAAATTTTAAGATTTTAAAACTTTTTTTTTTTGACAGGCAGAGTGGACAGTGAGAGAGAGAGAGACAGAGAGAAAGGTCTCCCTTTGCCGTTGGTTCACCCTCCAATGGCCGCCGCGGCCGGCGCACCGCGCTGATCCGATGGCAGGAGCCAGGTACTTCTCCTGGTCTCCCATGGGGTGCAGGGTCCAAGTACTTGGGCCATCCTCCACTGCACTCCCTGGCCACAGCAGAGAGCTAGCCTGGAAGAGGGGCAACCAGGACAGAATCCGGTGCCCCGACCGGGACTAGAACCCGGGGTGCCAGCGCCGCAGGCGGAGGATTAGCCTAGTGAACCGCGGCGCCAGCCTGCTTATATATTTTTACAAATACTCCTAATTTGGATAAGCTTAGAGGAACAAATAAAACTGTGTTCTGGAAGTGTTAATGGCCAGAAAATTCAATCAAACTTGGAAAATCATACTAAACTGGGTTAACTACCATCTAAGGCTCTAAGTACAGCTTTCCAATAAAATATGCTTACTGTTGCCACCTGACGTCCTAAGTAGCTGCTACATCTTGAGCCTGAAATTCCCTGTTACAGTCTACTAGATTCATTCATCTTTAAGCTACATACCCAACTATTCAATATAAAATAAATTTTGTCTATATAGCAAAACAAAAAGGTAATCCAAATTTAATGAACGTATTAGCACTTATCGTTGACAAGTATTATTTACAAACATAAAAGGCCTATCGTTCACGTTTTGCAAGATAATAGTTCTCCCTCTACTGGCAAACTGACATAGTAGTTTCTACTAGCATAAACATGACACAGTAACCAGCTGCACACTTTCTACATACTCAAATAGCTGAATAAATATTTGTGAAATGATATACCATAAGGAAACCATCTTTCACTTAATGACTACTAAAAATTTTTTCTTCTATTTCATTAAACAGCCCAAATATGAATACACTACATCATTTCAAAAAAAGAACCAGGAAAATTAGTTTGATGATATAAATTCCTTGAAATATCTTTCTGATTAATTATATTACCATACCACATTTTCATGAAATCACATATTTTTTCAAAATGTTGATTTCTATAGCACACAGCACCATTAGAAAAATCAAAACTATTTTTACTGAGTATCTTCGAATTGGGAATTACCCAGTTTTAAACAAACAGGGATAAAAGAGCTCCCATAAAACACCTTTTGGTACTTTTTAAACAGAAAATTACGTAATTTTATGAAGCTTAATGCTGAAATACCAAGTTAAACTTTAGATCTGCTGCTAAATACAATATATAAGAAACTAAATAAAATATCTGTCTTGTTCAAGTCTTCAATAAACTTCAAGTTGTTAATATACAACATACCCAGGCAAGATCCCTATCTGAGTTAGAAGACGCAAAGCCAATCAAAGTGCTACACTATGAGTCTTACCATGTTTGATGCATTCATGTGCTGTATCAGCTTAGAATCAGGAACAATAACTTGAGGTGCCGTGGCTACAAAATAATTAAATCAAATAAACACACATGGAAACAAGGAACCCTAAGGCTATTTCATAATCACAAGTATGTTATTTAATGCTGAAAACTTTTTCTGCATTTAAATGCCCTCAACCCCTTGATACTTCAAAATGTTATACATTTTACAGCATTTAAAGCTCTAGTATAACTGTATCATAACAGAAAACATCAATATTTAAGTATTTAAGTGATAAATTTGAAGGTTGCAAAGGAATTCAGTAAGATGAGGAAATGAAATACTTATCACAACAGCTACTAATTCATTAGGAACAAAATTCAGTTATAACTACTTTTTTTAATCTACAATCCTTTTCTCCCAATTTGACAGTTGCTAGGATGTTACTAATTGTTCGAAAAGTAGAAATTGAAAATAATGGTGATGTTACTTAAGTGTAAAAGGCATTAAATGTTTGATTCCGCAAATTTCAGAGAACAGACAGACAATCCCATTATCCACATAATCTCTGAGTGAAGAAAATCAAATTTTAATTTATGATGACCTAAAATCCTAATGCCAGGCTTGAAAGCATTAGGAGGAACAGTCATCAGAAAAGATTAAGAGTTAAAAATATTTGATAACAAAGGATAGATTTAAAGCAGATATTAAATCTTACTTTATATAAACAGCAAAACAACCCAAAAAGACCTTTCCACTGTGTATCACTATCATTTTTTTCACTTTTTTTAAAAGAATTATGTATGTATATATGTATATATTTGAAAGAGAGAGAGAGAAAAAAAAACAGAGAGAGACTGTGAATTCACTGTTCACTCCTCAAATGCCTACAATAGCCAGGGTTGAACAAGACTGAAATCATGAACCTAAAACTCCATCCAGATTTCTCAAGTGGGTGGCGGGGACTTAAGTACTTGGGCCATTATCTCCTGCCTTTTCAGGTGCATTAGCTGGAAGCTGGATCAGAAGCAGAGCAGTCAGTCAGAACTTCAACCAGTACTCTGATGTGGTATGCAGGCATTAAAAGCAGCAGTTTAACCTGGCTGCTCCACAATGCTTGCCCTTCACTATCAATTTCAAGTCATACACATATATATGTAGGTTAACTAAATGGTTACCTTAAAACAAGCTTTTCATTTACCTTCTTCTCCAATAACAATCAAGATTCACTGAATTAGAATACTTAGTAAGTTTTTAATTGAACATAGTTGTTATGACAGAAAATATTTGCTACATATAATGGATCATGCTTCTCAGCCTTTTTAAGGCCCAGATTTGCCTCAGCTATGAAGCAATGGAGCTAAGAACTATTTCATAGAGTTCCTAAAAGGAGTCAAAATGAAGCCTCATCTTTCTTAGGAGATAGCAGGTGATGACTCAAGTACTTAGGCACCCGCCACCCATAAGAGAGAACTGGATTGAGTTCCAAGCTCCTGGTTTCAGGCTGTCCCAGCCCACACTGTTGCAGGCATTTGGACAATAAACCAGTAGATAGAAGGATCTCTCTCTCCCTTTCTCTCTCTCAGCCTTTCAGTTAAAAATAAATGAAAAACAAATAGTTTTGCATTGTGCATTGTTCATACCTTTAAACAGAGTAATAATATACATCAAGATATATAGATCAACTATTCACATAAAAGAAATTTAATTGTTAATTTAGACACAGAAATTACCATGGTACTGAATTTTCAGAATGCCAACATATGGTTCAAAACTCAGGATTTAAGACATAAAAACAACACCAATATCCCTTTGAAGGAAAATGTTTCATGAAGAAATAACTACTTTACTATATAAAACAATGAAATCTTAGTTAAAAAAAATTATAAATCTGACTTAAATTTTAGGAAAGCCACCACTATATGTACTTCCTAAAAAACATTAGTACAAGTATCTGAATACTATTTTAGGGTTTCAATCAGGTAATTATTTGTCTATCACTATTCTACAAATAGGACTCACATTTTATACAAATTTATATACATAAAAACATACATAGAAAAGGGAAAAACAAAATCAGTACTTTTTTTTTTAGGTTTATGAAATACCTTTTAAAAACAAGATCCAAGTGACCTAGAGTATTTCTAGTCTTTTAAAATGACCAACTTAATTTCCAAGTAGTTAGGAAAACAGATCTAGTCTCACCTTGCTGTGATGCAGGAATAAGGACCTGCTGGGTCTGGGCTTGCTGAGGTACTGTCTGCTGAGGCTGAGCTTGCTGATGGTGGTGGTGGTGGTGATGCTGTTGCTGCTGGGGTTGATGTTGCTGTTGAACTTGCAATAAAAGTTGTTGCTCTTCTGAATGAAATCCATCTACTGCTCTAGACTGCATTAGTTTATTCTCCCACAACTAATGCAAACAACATTAAAAGTTTAAAAATGAAAAAATAACTCAATACATGGTCAAACATATTTTTACTAGCTATTTATGGAATTCTTCCATTTAAAAACTTACATAGCACAAAAATATAACCTCAAATCTCATCTAAGTGCAAAGGATAATGAAAACAATTTTTTAAAGTATCAAACTTCCTCTTTGCCACTTTAGCAACCTAAAGAAATTTTTGTTTTTATCTTCAACCATCTTTTCATAGCAACTCTTTAATCATCAGCTATTATATAGCACAGAGTTTCAGAAAAAGATTATCCTTTGTAGTATCAGAACCATTATGAAACTATCTTTATGGAATTCTTCTCTTCAAGAATTTTATTTATTTGAAAGGCACAGTGACAGAGACAGAGATCTTCTATCTACTGATTCACTACCCAACTGGCAGTAATGGCCAGGACTGGACCAGGCCTAAGCCAGAATCCTGGAACTCTATCCAGGTCTCCCGCATAGGTGGCATGGGTCATCTTCACTGCTTTCCCACGTGCACTAGCAGTGAGCTGGATTGGAGGCAGAGCAGCTGGGATTCCAATCAGCGCTCTGATTTGGGATTCTGGTATTGCAGGCAGGGGCTTAAACCAATGCACCACAATCCTTCACAGTACTCAGAAACTCTGTTGTTTGCCCCCTTTAAAAAAAAAAAAAAAAAAGATTTATTTATTTATTTGAAAGGCAGAGTTACAGAAAAAGAGGGAGACACAGAGAGAAGGATTTTCCATACACTGGATCACTCCCTAAGTGACTGCAACAGCCAGGGCAGGATGAAGCCAGGAACCAGGAGCTTCATCCAAGTCTCCCATGTGGGAGGCAGGGGCCCAAGCACGTGGGCCATTCTCTGCTGCTTTCCCAGGCATTTTAGCTTGAAGCCGGATCTGAGATGGAACATCCATGACATGAACAAGAGCTCATACAGGCCCCCAGCATTGGAGGCAGCAACACACCACAACAATGACCCAAGGAACTCTTCTGTCAATTCTAAGTAAAGAAAAAACAAACAGCATACTTGAACGTCTTAGAGAGATTTTTTGCCCAACCCTCTACACTAATGAAATTTCTCTTTTTCCATTATGCCAAGGGATAGATCTTTTCTGTGGAGCCATTTCTACAGATTGAGCTTACCTAATCTAAAAATCAAAACAAGCCAAAATCTGAAACTTTGTGAGCACAAACATTATACTACAAATGGAAAATCCATTCTTTGTTTATTGCACAAAATTACTTAAAATATTGGATAAAATTACTTTCAGGCTACATGTATGATGTGTATATAAAATATAAATGATTGCGGCCAAATCATTTATCTTTCTTAGGCATTTTTCTCAAGAAAAAGTGGATAAATGGAATTACATTACATCTAAATTCAATTTCAGTTAATAAATCTAAGTCTCTTCAAATCCCAGATTAAACACTGTTATCATCTTGTTGTGGTTACAAAGCATGACTTTTTGAGAGCCCAGACTATGCCTTGTTCACCTTAGCAAAGTAGGCATGTGTAGCACATGGTCAAAATAACCACTTATGAGTCAAAAAAGTATGAACATAAAGTAAGGCTTTTACTCTGCCATCACTCAAACCTACATCTATTCTCCTCTTCCAAAACAATACCTAGTTTCCTGTGAGCTAAAAATAATAAAATTAAAAAACAGTATTATTAATGCCTTGTTAAGAAACAGTTTTTAATGTTTGACTTCTATCACCTCCAATTGGTCTATACACTGCAATGTGGCTTTCATGAGCATGACAAATATTAATGAGTGCCTATGATATATGGCTTAGTGTTAGGTACTATAACTCACCTACCCTCCCACTCCAACAACCTAGGAGCCAGAATCCAATGTAAAATCCCATTATCACTATCAATTCCCCTCACAAAGCAGTTTGTCTATTCTTACTTTTATGGCCTGATCTTTTCTTCCCACCAGTACTACTGCAAATGGTAGTGATCTAGTGACTGAGCTCACTGAAATTCCAGTATCAAGACATGCATTCTACAAGTAATTCCTAAGTATCTCCTATAAGCCACAATGTTACAGGCAGGGACCAGAAAGTAAACAAACTTGACAAAAATTCTTTTTCTCATATAGCCAATATTACAGTGAAAACTTGATTCCCCCGATCTATCCTCTATAAATCAGTGGTCCTCAAAATGCAGTTCACATCCTAGGCTCTACCTCCTGCTGCCATTGCTGGAAGCCAAGTGACCACATGGCCCAACCACCAGTGTCAGCTCCACCTCCGTCCTAATGGGATTCGCTGCTCCTACTTCCCTGCCCACCCCCCGGCAAAGTTTTAAAAGATCTGTTTCTGAATACGTGGCTCTTTCTCTCCGTCTCCTGATCTCTCTCCTTCTGTCTCTCCTCTCTCTCTTACATTCTCCCTTTCTCTCTTTTCTTTCTTTGCCCCTTCCCTCTGGTCTGTTGGGCTTCCCCCAATAAACCCTTCCCCTTATAAAAAAACACAATGCAGTTCAGGAACCAAAACATTAACATCACCTGGGAACTTGATAAAATGCTAATTCTCAGGTCCTACTCCAGACCTAACGAATTAATAACTCAACGGCAGAGCCAGCAATCTAGTTTAACAAACTGTTCAGGTGATTCTGATGCATTATAAAGTGAGTATTTAGCTACTTCATAATATTTTTTAGGAACTCAGTGCAGGTCTTCCATGTGGATGGCAGGAAGCCAACTTCATGCGCTATCACTATTAGCTTCCAGGGTCTGCATTAGCAGGAAGCTCGAGTCAAGAGCAGAACTAGGAACTGGACCCAAGTACTCCAATATGGGAGGCAGGCATCTTAACGGCTAGGCAAAATGCCTGCACAGAGAAAGTTGCTTTAAAATCTAAATCAATACCATTCAAACAAAAGAATGTATCATGAGAAGTCAAATTTTTTTGTAAATGAAATCAAACTGAAAAGAAAATGTCAGACTGTTATACAGGCTAAAAAACTTTTGCATACACATGTGTGTTAAATACTATTACTTCTTAAGGATGGTCCTAGTCAAGTTTGAGAAACTTCTACATTGTTATCAAGTTGAAGTTACTGAAATTTACAAATATGACATCCTCTGCTTATAAACTGAACCCACAGAAAATGAAATCTGTAGATGCCTACCTTGAAATACTGTAGTCTCCACCTTATCTGTGGGGATATATTCCCAAGATTCCCAGTGGATGCCTGAACCTATATTAGTGCCAACTTCTATAAGTACTAAGTTATTTTCTATACATACACAATTATGATAAGTTTATTTATAATTTAGACACAATTAATAAAACAATTTACTGTAATAAAATTTATATTAATCTGATTATCTCTCAAAATTATCTTACTGCACTGTACTCACACTTCTTGTGAAGGTAAAAGGAGCCTATATGAGATGAAATGAGGTGAATAACATGGACATTATTAATACAGCAGCTATTATGTAAGGGTTACTAAAAAAAAGCACTGTAATACCATTACAGTTGATCTAATAATTAAGACAGCTAATAGGGTTGGTGTTGTGGTTTAACGGGTTAAGCTACCAACTATGATGCTGGCGCTGGCATTCCACATAGCCACCAGTTCAAGACCTGGCTGTTCCACTTCTGATCTAGTGCCCTGTTAATGTACCAAGGAAAGCAGTGAAAGATGGCCCAAGTTCTTGGGTCCCTGCCACCCATGTGGGAGTTCCAGAAGAAGCTCTTGGCTTCTTTCTGGCTTCAGCCTGGCCCAGCCCCAGCCCGTAGCCATTTGGGGAGTGAATCAACAGATGCAAGATCTCTCTCTCTCTCACTCTGCCTTTCAAATAAACAAAATAAATCTTAAAAAAAAAAAAAAAAAAGTTAAGTGATTGATGGGCGGGTGGTGTATACAGCTTTAACATGTGGGACAAAGGGATAATTCACTTCCTGGGCAGGATGAAGTCAGCTTTCAAGAGATTTTATGATGATACTTAGATAGGTGAACAGCATTAATGACTTATTTCTGAACAATGGTTGACCACTAGTAACTGAAACCAAAGACAGTGAGTACACAGATTAAGGCAGACTACTGTACTTATTTACCAAAAGAATATTACTAATTCCTATTCTATTACTTCTATGAAGTCAGACACTGAAGCAGAAGCACAATAATCCATATTGTAACTAGTACCACAGATAATTCTTCTCAAGTAAAAGACCAACTCCTTAGAATGGTATATGTTACCATATGTTGTGCTTCTGTAACTTGTACTCTATTTTCTATCAGTACTAAATTACTTACAGTTTCCTGAATACAGCATTCAAAACATTAATAGATTATTATTATTAGCTTTCTCTCATAATTCCCCCAAAAAAGGCAAATGTCAAAATTACATGGCATTTATAACCAGAGTACATTTAGAAAAATGGCTCTTAGGGCCAGCACTGTGGTGCAGGAGATTAATCCTCTGCTTTCGGCACCAGCATCCCAGTGAGCTGCTCCTCCTCTGACCCAGCTCTGCTGATGGCCTGGGAAAGCAGTAGAAGATGCCCCAAGTCTTTGGGCCCCTGCACGCGCGTGTGGGACCTGGAAGAAGCACCTGGCTCCTGACTTTGGATCGGCCCAGCTCCAGCTGTCGCTGCCATTTGGGGAGTGAACCAGTGGATGGAAGACCTTTTTCTCTAACTCTGCCTCTCACTATCTGTAACTCTACCTGTCAAATAAAGTAAAATCTTAAAAAAAAAAAAAAAAAAAAAAAAAGAAAGAAAAAAGAAAAATGGCTCTCTCTGGGGCTGGTGTTGTGGCATAGCACGTAAACCCCACCTGCAATGCTGGCATCCCATACTGGCATCAGTTCAAGTCCCAGCTACTCTACTTCAGATCCAGCTCCCTGCAGATATGCCTAGGAAAGCAGTGGAAGATGGCCCAAGTGCCTGGACCCCATCATTCATGTGGAAGACCAAGATGGAGGTCTAGTTGGTTTTGGCCTAGTCCAACCCCAGTCTTTGTT